CAATGGGGAATCAAAGTTTTACATAGAAATATATAGGCTTTTGAAAATCTTCTTCTCAAGAACCACTGGGCAGGAAAACTGAAATATATTGGACCTGGGCTACAAAGATATCTGTAGGTCTTCCTCAGCCCACTGAACTCTCAATATTAGATAGCTAAAAAGATATCTGGATATATTGAAATTCAGGGGCCATGCTGATTCTTTCAATATATCCGATCAGCTACAAAGATATCTGTAAGTCCACCATTTTTACAAGTTCAATCCCGAGCTCTCAATATTAGATAGCTACAAAGATATTTCTAGGTCTTACTCAGCCCGTGAGCAGCTCATAGAATAGATAGCTACAAAGTTTAATTTTTTTTTATTTCTGTTTTAGCCCGCTGAACTCTCAAATATTATTCCCTACAAAGATATTTACGTTTTGGAAAAAAATCAGCCCGCTGAGCTCTCAATATTAGATAGCTACAAAGATATCTGTAGGTCTTCCTCAGCCCGCTGAACTCTCAATATTAGATAGCTACAAAGATATCTGTAGGTCTTCCTCAGCCCGCTGAGCTCTCAATATTAGAGAAAGAGAAAAAATAAACTGTTTTATTTATTAGTATAATGAATGAATAGTGACTAAGGTTTTTGGAGACCAGAATAACTTATCTGATAGAAATGTTTTCATCATCTTTCTGTCAATCTGTAAACAATTTTTCCAAATAATAATCCTTGCACAGTTTTGATATAAAAAACTAAGCTAAAAACTTTGTACAAGTACTAAGACTACACAAAAATATTAATATTCTTATTGGAATTCCATTTGATGAATAACTTTACCATGGTAACTAGAATTAGAATTTTTATATGATTCTTTCAAAAGGGAACTTTCTGTAAAGTGTCAGTTAAACATATATTTAATTGAATTTGATACATAGGTAGAATACACTAAGATACTTTATGTATTTATCAGATTTAGATTTGTGAATGGACAAAATTATTTCAAAATGCATCTCCTTATTCAGTTCGAGTCTGATCTCAGACCGATTCATCATGATTACAGGGTATTCTATTCTTCTCAAATATTTTATTGAATAATGTCAGTATGCAACTTTATCTCAGTTTAGGAGAGCACCCACATCATTGTAGATTCAGAAATGAAAGTTCAGAGTGGTCATCACAAGGAAATACCCATATTAAGCCTGTTTTACTGAACATTTAAAGGAGACTTTAGCTACACGTATGTTCTTTTGTTTCAGTGTCCTGGATGCCTGTGATTACCTGAGTCTGCTAGATAAGCTACATATGCCTAAGCAATACAAAAGGCCCAATTATAAACAGGATAATGTTAAGGTGTGTGGGTTCAGTTTGATTCATAAAATGAAAAATTTTGTAATTTTTTTCCCCAAAAAATTACCCCCCCCCCAATAGTATTTATCTGATTGCATAGAATCATAGGACAAGCAACTACATCAAGAAACATGTTTTAAATTTTTGCTGTTGTGCAAATGCCACTTTCAATCTCTGATACAAACCAGAAGAGCTACAGACTTGTAAGTTAATTCTGGCTTTTTCAAAGAAACACAGGAAAAGAGTAAAACAGATGCAGTACATGTACAATGGACCTTCAGATATCCGGATGCTTCAGTATCCGGATGATTTTTCTTCGGAACAGAATTTTTTAAAGTATTTTTTGTCTTGTTTAACTGGTAATTCAGGTATCTGGACGCTTCACATAACCGAACGAATTGACTAGGAAGCAAAGCGTCCGTAAAAATGAGGCTCCACTGTACATGTATATTCATTTTACAAAAAAAAAACAACACACACACACACAATGACAAATCTAGTTATAATTAACCTATTTGTATTCTATTCTATTTTATTTTTTCTATATTTTAAGAAAATGTTGGAGAAATATGTCAAGAAAAAATCAACAAAGAAGACAGGGGTAACAAAGCTGAAAGAGGCCCTGAACCAGATAACGAAGAGAGGCCTGGCAAATGTGATAGAGGAGAACAAATCAGAGCGGGCCATTCTGGAGAACTATCTCAAAGAGTGACCAGGGTCTGAGAAATTAAATGTATAGCCATTGTTTTGTTCAAATATTAAATAGATTAAGACATTTTACAGCCTTTGTCTTTCTACAATAAGTACCGGTGTACAGTTAACATTTGCCATTACATGTATGGAAGACGATACCAAGTATATACATGTACAGTAAATGGGATTGATGCTGCATATCATGACACATGTATCATAACTATGCACAGACTAGGTGCAAAGAAAAGGTATGCCATAACCATGGATGTTCATATCAAGGTTCAAAAACATGTATGGGTCTATTATTGTAAGGGAGAAATATTAGCTTAAGACTGGGGGGTTTAACATATGACCTTGAACCAAAGTCAAAGGAATCTAAACTGAACAAGCTAATTCAGAGAATTCATGTCCCCCGCTTAGGGATAAAGTCGGCTCTCCCTGACTGAATTTGTAGAATTATTAAATGTATACATGTATACTGAAGGAAATAAAATACATGTATGTTAATACATATAAAGATTTGATTGCTTATTCTTTATTATGTGTATAGAAGATTCTTTTTATATGGAATATTTATCACACTGTAATGATGATTTTATAACCTCATAAATTTTTCATTTCACATGCTGAATACTATCATTTTAGTAAAAAAAAAGAAAAGTATTTATTAAAAAAAAAAAAAAAAAATGGATCGACCGAGATTCAATCTCGGGACCTCTCTCATGTGAAGCGAGAGACATACCACTAGACCACGGAATCGCTTTATATGCAGAACTGAAGTCACATACATGTATATATTCATGTTCGGTATTCTCAAAATTTTACACAATCCATGGTGTTTGATTTATTTAGCCTTTATTAAACAGTTCTAATAGATGTAATAAGAACATAAAGTCCGCCGAGAACCTGTTTTATACGCAATAACTCTCCTCATGCCCCTGTGCTAAAAATAGGGACATGTAATACTATAAATACTAATAAAACAAATGGGGCGGGGCACTTTGAGAGGGGTGAGAGAGGTCCTAGGGAGTTTTGGTATAAAATTATATTGCTTAAGCTCAAAATCTTCTTGAAATATATCGTCCAGAAATGATAGTGTTACACACAGACAGAATGTATTTATGACCTTGACCTTTTGACCCCAAAATCAATAGGGGTCTTCTTTAGTCCATAGGGAGTTGCTATGCTAATTTTCATTGCAAAAGCTCAAAGGGTTCTCGAGATATCGTGTGGAAACGAAAGCGTTACAGACAGACAGAAAGACGGACGGACGGACAAACCCAAATTAATATCCCCACTTTTCAAGCGGGGGACAAAAATTCTTGCCAGTGTCATGACTTCATAATGAACAAAATGTGTTTGTGAAATGCTGTGCACCCGGCAGCAACAAAATTTAAAAAAAAACAAACTATTTTTAGCATATAGGTCACAATTAAGTCACAGTCACTGACCTTGATGTCATTTGAAAGAACGTAATAAGTGAAATATGCATACCAAATATGAAGTCTCTCTCTCCTATGGTTCAAAAGTTATGGAGAAAGTTTAAAAAAGCTATTTTATGCAAATAGGTAAGTAAAGGTCAGAAGGTCATGGACTTTGGTGTCATTCAAAAGAGCTTAATTAGTGGGGTATGCATACCAAATATGAAGTGTCTATCTTTCACAGTTCAAAGGTTATGGCGAAGGTTGAAGTTGACAACAGACAGACAGGCAGGACAAAAACAATATACGCCCCAATCTATCGATCCAGGCGCATAAAAACATCTCTTAATATTACATTCACACCTGAGCTAGAGTCCTTAGAACAATGTTACATGGTTCCATTGTGAACAAATTTTGTTTGGATCATTACTTTAAGAGAGAAATTGAAAGCTGATGCTTTGTTCAAAGAATGCATTTGATCAGAGCATGTGTCAAAATCCCAATTCCTTAAACCAAGGCTGTTTGGACTTGAAGTCGGGTTAAAGGAAAAGAACATTTTAGTCCCTTACATGTATAACTTGTAATAATTGTAGTAGCCTGTTTATTTGCTGTTGATCTCACCCTAACAAGTTGAGCCTGTGACAAGCCAGGTCAAAGTTTCACCATGAATCTTTAATTGGCGTGCTTCAAGGTGCTTGAGTATCAAGATTTAAGTGTATCTAAGTAGGCCTTCAGATGTAGATTTGGGTATTTTTAAAAAATATGGTTGAACAAATCTTTTTAAGCGTGTTTTTAAATACCCCCCCTCCCTGAAGAAGAGCAGGGACAAGGAGATTCTTGGAGTTTTGCAACCTATCAGCATCTTTTCAATTTATTTTTGAATTTCACATTCACCCTTAATCGCTTTCTACATTTCTATTTGGCTTATCAATTTTATCACCAAATAAATGCCCAAGTACTGCTTTCATAGTCTGACACCTATACATCAAAAGCAATTAAGGTATTATTAATTAATCAGATCCTAGTTAGCTACAAAATTTTAGGGAACCTTGTACGAGTTTTCCTTGTGCAGCAAAATATACATTATACTCTAGGTACTAATAAACAACATTCTTGACAGAATTGAGCCTTTTAACTCCATTATTGACCTGTTGGCCAACTTTACCTGTGTATGTCTGCCGATATTCTGTAAGGCTATATATTGCAGATAAGAATGCAGAGCAGTGCGCCCACATGTGAATTTCTGTCGACATGGTTAAGATTTTAGGCCTCTGATTATCTCAATTTCTTTATCAGTACCGATTGAGGTAAATAAAAGGTAGGAAATTTTAAAGCAACTCTTTTGCCAGCACTACCTTTAGGGGTTGAGTTTGCACTCTTGCCAAGACATTGTTGAATATACACAAATACTTGTTGCATTATTTGTAGTACTGATTTTCAATACAAATCCATGTTTACAAACACAGAATTTCCCTCCAGTCACGTTTTTCAGGACTCCATATTTTCCTTCCCGGTCAAGGTAACCCATTTGATCAAAACATAAACAAACTCACAATTTTTTTCTTCATAATTTAATAGGAACAAACATTTTTAAACTTGATGTAAAATAACAAAAGAAAGTTTACTGGGCATTGTCACCAAGTTATCTTAATTCCACACTTCATAAATTGATACAGGTATAAATATTCCTGAGCAAGCAATTCTTGACATATGTTGTACTTGTAGTGTCACAATCATTCAACAATTATAAAACTTTTTTTGTACAGAGAGTGTCTCTCTTCTGCCTTACAGAAAGCAAAATACATATTCTAGATGACATACTCACTTGATAAACTTATATGTGTACTGCATTTAGAAAGTATTTTCAAAACTTGTATACCTTCTGAGCAATTAGATTTTTTCTTTCATATTTCTTTAAATTAACAGCTAATGCACACAACATAGGATACATTAAAACTGGTTCATTTCAAAATGTTCCTGAATTATAGACATTTCATAACATGGCACATTCCTTGTAAAAAAATCTAATTGTACTGTCACTGCAGAAAAAAACAATATAAATCAAAGTTATTCTTTTCTTCAGTAGAACCATGCAAATATTTTCGTGCATCAAGATTTTCACCGAGCCATTCATACATGACTAGCACTATCTCAGATTCACAGATTGGCACAAAGATAATGTTGAACACATCACATAAGAGACAGGAGATGACAGGCCAATGACGTCTCCCTTGGTGAGAGCGGCGGCTGAAATCCTGACGATTCGATAGTTATCACAGAACGCTGACCATCCTTAATACTTAATTTGTGAAGAGATACACAACTAGTTCATAGGTGGCCATCATAATAGCTGTATTTGGGATCTGACGAATGAGTTGAGTTCCGATACCCCTATATAATCCCGCCCGCCCCTCCTCCTGGTATACCACTAATAGCGTCTGGAAAAACGAGCGATACTTCGTTCCCTCCTCTCTCAACCTTGTTCTTGCGACCTCTGGAATTATTCAAATAAAATAAAATTAATTGGATATTCCAATAAACAGATATTGACCAATAATGATAATCTGTGATAAAGAAAACATTACTGTGGATTAACACTTACCATGTGGGTAGGCAACACAAGTTGCAATGGTTTTAGAGGTTGCACCAGCCACCATGCACCGCAGGAAATTATTTCCATTAGAGTGTTCCACCCCTGGAAACTGTTCCTCTAGCCGTGCTTTGATGGCCTCGTAGATCACAAAGTGGATAACAGTCTCAGCCATGCCGTAGTAGGAGGCGGTGATCCCCTTGTAAAAGCCACGGATCCCATGTTGCTGGTTGATTTGTCTGATACACTCACTTACCGTTAGCCTATTGTTTCTCCTAATGAAACAAACATACCATGTTAACAAAATAAATTTTAATCATAATATTATGATTATTACCGGTATATATTATATAATATTAAAAGAAATGCATTTTCTTAATCCTCTTACTTTTGATCTAGCTGTAGCCTAGTCTTTATAAACCAGATTGGGTTGGTGAGAGTGCAGGAGGTGAAACCTGAAAAATATCGAAATGGTTAGATCTCTTGTTAACAGGATTAGCTCCATCAAGTTATCCATTAAATAGAGTATAGAGTTATCCAGAAATTGAGTATATACTTGTTGCAAGCACTTAGATAAAATGATATACTGTACAGGGGATTAATTTCACGGGTTGTAATTTTCACGTTTTTCTCTCATCTGACACGATCGCGGTTTCTTGAATTCGCGGAATCGGTATATAATAAAAGTTACCTCCCTTGTCTTCATACATTTAATCCATACCATAGCTACATGTTAACGAAATCAACCAGCGTTATGTCTTTCTTTCACGAACAACAGGGTAGGTTAATATAAAATTGTTAGATATAAAATAAATAATACATGCAATTGACAATTAATTAAAACAAGTACAGTTTTAAAACGTCCTTGACTGTAGACGCAAATGACTTTCCTATATTATGCTATTACGTTGAGTTCATGTACACCCTAAGATCTTTAATACAACGCGGCGAAAAACCACTTGACAGTAATGTAGTCCGACGATCGACATATCCTTCCACATCTTCAGAAAGTTCGATATTCATTTGAATGATTTTAAAAACCAAATTGTCGATAAAAATTAATATGAGCGATAATGCAGGTAACAATTACACGTGGTAACATGATTAGTTTCGCACGGGTAATCAAAAACCATGGCCCACGTGTTTTGATTGAGGAAACATGTAGCGGTGGCTATTAAAAAGGGTGATAATTAGAATAATTGATTGACAAGTTCTACTAATACTATTAAATGGGGCCTAGAAAAAAAATATGTTTGTTTCCGCTTTCCCGACCGACCCTAATTTATAGTGCCGACCCTAAAATTTTTTTTAATGCTTTTATCCCATGAAGTGCAAGATTTCACCCAGGGAATTTAGTCTCCAACTTTGCAAGCTCTTTAAGACAGAAAGAATTTTGAGCCACCTTTCTATTATAAGTTTAAGTCACAGAAATGCTTGAAAACACCATTTCTTTTGTCATTAATGTTACTTCTATGATTAAAGAAGTAAAAATAATTTTCAAAAAAAAAAAATTTTGCCTACCGACCTACCCTATATTTTTTCAGCCTGAAAGCGGAAACAAACAATTTTTTTCTAGGCTTGATAACACAGCTCACAAATATCACAGTTTGCAAAATAATTGGTATGCTTTTAAATAACAAATAACTGTACCTCTCCTGGGTAAATAAGATGTGTGGAAATTAATGTGACCTTCAATAACAGTTTGCTCTATTTATTGATTTGAAAGTGCAAAGCATTCTATTTCTTCTAAACTAGGCAGAAAGCAGGAAAAGGAAATTTGAGGATGGCACAGAATCTGAGAGAAGGCGACAGAAACTGAGGTCAGAGGAAGGTGATGACATGGATATTGAGGAAGAAGGTAAAAATTATTACTGAAAGGGGATTTTTGTGCGTCCCAAATACAGATTCAGAGTACTGTATATAGGGAAAATTTTGTCCATTTCATTTTCACCCCTTTCAATCTAGACCAAGGGTTGAATTTAAGATGGGACAAAATTCAGAGAAGACAATACAAATTCTTAAATAGAATTGTGACTGAGCAAATTTAAAATGAGGCAAAAGATCTAGGTTCACTTTTTGCATAAAATGGCCCTGTGCTTGTATCAATTAATTGACTATCATTCTCCCTCCCAATTCAAATATAACAAGCTAATTCAGAGAATTCGTGTCCCCCGCTTAGGGAAAAAGTCGGCTCCCCCTGACTGAATTTGTAGAATTATTAAATGTATACATGTATTCCGAAGCAAATAAAATACATGTATGTCAATATGCATATAAAGATTTGATTGCTTATTCTTTATTATGTGTATAGAAGATTTTTTTATATGGAATATTTATCACACTGTGATGATGATTTTATAACCTCATAAATTTTTCATTTCACATGCTGAATACTATCATTTAGTAAAAAAAAGTATTTCAAAAAAAAAAAAAGAAAGGATCGACCGAGATTCGATCCCTGGACCTCTCGCATTTGAAGCGAGAGACATAACCACTAGACCACGGAATCGCTTTACACAGGGTGAAGTATATGCAGAACTGAAGTCACATACATGTAATCATGTTCGATATTCTCAAAATTTTACACAATCCATGGTGTTTGATTTATTTAGCCTTTATTAAACAGTTCTAATAGATGTAATAAGAACATAAAGTCCGCCGAGAACCTGTTTTATACGCAATAACTCTCCTCATGCCCCTGCGCTAAAAATAGCGACATGTAATACTATAAATACTAATAAAACAAACGGGGCGGGGCACTTTGAGAGGGTGAGAGAGGTCCTAGGGAGTTTTGGTATAAAATTATATTGCATAAGCTCAAAATCTTCTATAAATATCGCCCGGAAATGATAGTGTTACACACAGACAGAATGTATAAATTTACGACCCTGAACTTTGACCTTTTGACCTCAAAATCAAAGGGGTCTTCACTAGGTCACAGGGAGTTGTTATGTAAATTTTCATTGCAATAGCTCAAAGGGTTCTAGAGATATCGTGTGGAAACGAAAGTGTTTTAACAGACAGAATTTGCTTATTTATGACCTTGACCTTGACCTTTTGACCTCAAAATCAATAGGGGTCTTCTTTAGTCCATAGGGAGTTGCTATGCTAAATTTCATTGCAAAAGCTCAAAGGGTTCTCGAGATATCGTGTGGAAACGAAAGCGTTACAGACAGACAGAAAGACGGACGGACGGACAGCTAGACGGACGGACGGACGGACAAACCCAAATTAGTATCCCCCACTTTTCAAGCGGGGGACAAAAATAAAGTAGAGGCTGATTGCTTTTATTTCCTATAATAAAATTTCTGTTTGAGTATCCAGATATCCAGTTTTATCAAAGTGCAATGTTCTTGAATATTGCAGAAAACAGGGTATTTGCCTACCTTCAGAAAAAAATTAAAATATGATCATAGCCCTTGATCCAAGAATTAAAAGCATATTATATGATATTCAGAAACAGATCTTCATATTTTGGATCAGAGGTTGTGCTCTATATAAGATATCGAAGAAATGCTTCAACGTTTGGTTATTTTTAAGAGGCAGTCCACCGAAAAACCAGGCAGTATTGTATTAATAGGCACATATCGAATGTGAGGAATATTTGATATTTTATTAAAAACAATATCAATGTAGTCCAAAAGGAATAATGTAATTGAAGATTTGTTTGAAAATTGTGTATTAAGTAAAATATCCTTGTGTTTTGTGTTTTGAATTCCCCTATATAAACCATTGAATGTAGGTCAGAAACAAAGAACTGAAATTTCTAATACATTTTAACAGGACTATAATTCACACTTAACTAAATCTATAATATTTCATCTTTTTTTTT